TCCTGTTTTACCATTAAATAATAATGAGTAATTAAGGAGTAATTAAAAAAGGTGCTTTTATTTATTTTTTATTATTTAAAAAAATACTTTTTTTGTAATAAATTAATAACAGGAATTTTACTGAAATGATTTTAGCCTTACACACTCAATTAGTACATCATCTTTCAATAAACTCTTGAATCCCGTTCATAAAAGACAAACATAATATTTTTACATAAAAAAAATATAGCTGCCATAATTTAAATGTGCATTTGACTTTTTTATATTGTCAGTGTTGTAATTTTTCTAAATTTTATAGAAATATTGGCTTAAAAACATGTCAGATTTGCGCTGTTTTCGAAAAATTAATTATCTATCCGGTTATTTCTAGATATTAGATGAACATGTTAAAAATTAACTAACATATGTCGTTATTAACAATAACACCAATTAAGCAAATTACCGTGAGTTGTATAGGTTCTGATATGTTTTTAAGCTTAAAAGATATATAATGGAATCCATACATTGCAGTGGAAATGATATTTAGAAATTCGTTGACTAATTTTCGTAAGGCTGAGTTTCGTATACGTTTCATTCAATTTTTTCTGCAGTCTTTGAAGGTAACCCTGATTACAAAAAATACCGTGAAAAAGTGTATCTTATTATTATACACGTCTGTATGTTTGTATTGTATATTTTTATTTATTATTAATGTTCTATTTACGTAGTTTAGCCTTATTCTGAAAGGAATTGCTCTCCAGTAGTCTTCCAGTTATTTGAAATTATCAATAAGTAGTAGAGCTCCATGAGTAATTAAAAAACATAACGTAATGAAACAGAATTAGGGCTGCTATCAAAGATTGATCTTTTTTATTCCATTTTTATACAAGTTTTTTTTTTATATTTATATGCTGTTTTTGCAGCTTTTTTTATATATTCAGTAGTGTGAGATCGTGAATCAAAAAGCTTTTTATATAAAGGGTATTGTTTAGTGATATTTTTTTACTCTATTAAACTTGTATTCCAGTAAAAACAATACTATCATTATTTATTTATGTTTTTTCCTTAAAATATCTACTTCCAAGGCAGTAAAACAAAAGTTCTGGATGATCGTATTTTTATATTACTCCTATCTTATATGTATACTAAAGCAAATAAGCAGTTCTTAAACAAAAATTGCCCTTTTTATATTCACTGATATTGAAAACTATTGTAAATAAGAAAGGGTATTAATAACTGTCCACTTTCTCGTTCTGGTTGATTAAACAGTGGCGTAGCTGTAGGGGTGTATATGAGTAAATCTAATATTTGTTTTTATTAATAGGGGACTGATATTCCGACGACACTAATGGACAATCACAACAAAATTTTGGTGATAGATTCACAATCTCGCACTTTAATTTC